AGAGGAGGCTGATACTGCCACTCTCCTCAATACGCTTTTCATGCCCCCCTCCCTTCTAGGCTGGTAATCTACATATAAAACAGGGCAGGCTTTGGCAAGCCAAACACAGACAGAAGTGTGAAGTGATCCCCGCTTAACTCTTTCATCTGATGGTTAATTAGCGTGTGGAAGCGGCTTAATGCCGCAGCGTCAGCCAAGGGAACTCACCCACTAATCCCTGACACAAATCGCATTTTCTTCAGGGAGAGATCACCTGTGTCACTGCATCCCAAACATCTCACTCTTTCTCACACAATCACACGTATAAACTTGACTATGAGCAAGCCTTTTTTCCCCGCGTGCAGTGAGAATGGTGTCATTGATGAAACCCTCTGTTGCCAACCGCTGGAGTCTCTCCAGCACCTAATGTCTAATTCATGACGTCCATCTTAAACCGGCCCAGTTCCAAACACAAGTACCTTCTGCCTTACTGGCTGCAAATCTCATCCAATGAATAGAGTATTCACTACAGCTTTTATATCCTTCACAGTACGTAATGGAGTGAAAGAAAGAGCACGAGGAAAGACATTTCATATTAGTTTGATCAAGAATTTGGCAATTTTATGGACGTTAAGTGCCGGTTTTACTATTCAGCCCCCATGAAATGAAGTATATTGTGATTTCTATGGAGCCGAATGCTAGATTTTGTTTCCCAGCATAAACGGCATCATGAATAAATTATGCAAAACAATGCCTCAATGTTTTTGTTTTTACCATTTACCTCATTATGTGCATGATGTTGTCGTGTTTGTAATTTTCTTTGAGTTGTGTGTTAAGATGTAGATGAGCTTGTTTCTTCATCAGAACAGATTTGTTAGAATTTAGCATTACATCACTTGCACACCAGTGGATCCTCTGCACTGAATGGGTGCCGTCAGAATGAGAGTGCAAACAGCTAGTAAAAACATCACAACAATCTAAAAGTAATCCACACGACTCCACGTCATCAATTAATGACTTTGAATGGAAAATCTGCGTGTTTGTAAATAACAAAACCATTAATTAAGATTAATTCATATACTACTACTACCATATAAACCATATAAACTACCACATCTGGACAAAATACGAGTCTATAATCAATAATAACATTTACTCCAACGAAAAAGTAAATTCCCTGTTCTCCTCTCACAACAAAAAACACGATATGTGTCTAGAACTGTTTTTGCTTTTAAACAGTGCTTTGTCTGTGTGTGTGTGTGTGTGTGTGTGTGTGTGTGTGTGTGCGTGCGTGCGTGTATACAGATTTTCCCACGTAAAGTTTCGCAAGTCCTGAAAGTAGGCAAAGAGAACCCAATCAAACAAACGAGAGACAAATATTTTCTTTGCCATTTATTATTCTGGAAAATGATTCAATATTACATGTGAGTGGCTAAAGTTTGTGAATCTCTAGGATTAGGAGTCAGTTTGAAGGTGAAATTAGAGTCCATATGTTCAGAGGTGTTTTCAATCAATGGGTGTCAGTGCGTGCCGTTTTATTGAGAGAACAGGGATCTATCAAAGTTTGATCATGTTTGTGGAAGCGGATCATGGCACAAACAATGGAGATCTCGGAAGACCTCAGAAAAAGTGTTGATGTTGCTCATCAGGCTGGAAAAGGTCACAAAACCATCTCTAAAGTGTCTGGATCTCACCTATCCACACTCAGACACACTGTGTACAAACAGAGGAAATTCAGGACCAATGTTACACTCCCCAGTAGTTCGTTGACCAACAAAGATCACTCTAAAAGTGAGATGTGTAATAGTCCACAAGGTTGCACAGGAACCCAGGGTAACCCAGGGTAGTCCATCATCAGGAGAACACTGAGCAACCATGGTGTGCATGGCAGAGTTGCAAGGAGAAAGCCACTGCTCTCCAAAAAGAACATTGCTGCCCATCTGCAGTTTACTAAAGATCATGTGGACAAGCCAGAGGACTGTTGAATAAATGTTTTGTGGACGGATGAGACCAAAATATAACTTTTTGGTTTAAATGAGAAGTGTTATGATTGGAGAGAAGAAAACACTGCATTCCAGCGTAAGAAACGTATCCCATCTATGAAACGTTTGGTGGTAGTATCATGGTTTGGGCCTGTTTTGGAAAATGTCAGGACATCTATCTATGAACTGAGTCTCAAGAGAAAGTGGGTCATGCAGCAAGACAACAACCCCAAGCACACAAGTTGTTTTATCAAAGA